ACTGCAAGCACTGCAACCTTGTTCCAGCTGTTAAAACTGTTAGAGGTCTTTGACTCCTCTTCACATGATATGATACCAGACTATATGAGTCCTCTGATGTACATCTTTTTTTCATGAAAATTTTAGGAATTTCAAAGCCCAGTTCTGCACACTTGAATTGGAAGGAATCAAGCGCATCTGGTCTTTAGCTGGAGACTACCTCTGGTTTCTGCAAAACTTCAGTAGCATGTGTGCTCATCACCTATGTTTGTTTTTCATTTTCAGTAATCCTTAAAAGTTATGTTCCTACCCTAATGAATGCATTGATCTTTTCCAACTTAGCTACTTTGGCAAAGGTTGTGTATGGTTGATCAGATACGTGGTAAACAAACGTTACTGTCAGTCTCAGTTCACTTCTGAGTAAGAGAAGCCCCCACAAGCCAACAGAAGTATTAATGTACAGGCGGAACCAGTGGTTAGGCTGATTTTTTTTTTATTTTAGGAAGACTCTTTGCTGACCCATTTGCTCTGTACGCCAAAGAAATGCAGCACTGCAGATAGGAGCTTTTCTCTTCAAACCACTGACATGCACAAATGGTTTAATCTTTTTTTTTTCTCCCTTGCGCAGCCTTCATTTCTGTACCAACGTTTACGTTTTTATGGATGAGTAATTGAGAGGGAGAATGCACACTAAGAAGGTAAGACTGCAGAACAGTGTCTGTTTAGCTTTGGGAAGACTCTAGCCCTTGCTTAAGCTGATATTCCTGCTATGCTTTTCTATGGGTGCAATCTGAATCGACTGAAATGCAAATCTTTCTGAATAATGTGTAGACTGGTGTGTTCTGGATTAAGAGCGATGGGTCCCCATATAGTTCATCCATTTTTATTCTCCCTTGTGTAGATTACCAACAGAGAGGAAGACGATTGTGTGCTGATAATGACTGCTTCCAAATATTTAACTTCTAGCATGTAGAGGCAGATTTTTCCCAGTCTGGAAATTCTTCTCTATTTCTGACAGGAAAAATAATTCACTGTATCTTTTAAACCTTTCTTTTCCTAATGTAACTTTGCCTTATTAAATATTAGGCAGTGCTTTGCCTCTCACATGCCCGTTCAGCAAAGCATTTGCTCTTTCATTATTCAATCGGAAAAGGATAATATCTGGGAAACAACAAGATTGTATCTGAAGACACAAATTCAAATCAAGGATCCCTTCTTTAGTCAACTCTGACCAATCCTCCAGCTCACAGACTGAGTCTTGTCCAGTTTCAGAGCACGTAATTTTAATACTACTCCTTCTAGTTAAGAGCTGTATCTTCTGTTTTTTAGGCCTTTGCTTATCTCTGACAAAAGAATAATTCTTAATGGCAGTTAGCTAAGTGAAATCCTTCTGGCGGTTCTGGTTTTCCCACAAGACAGCCTCCAAAATTAGGGTCTTTGGGGTGGTGCATTTGTATCAGTGATACAACACATTGTTGTACAGCATTTTAATGCAGTACGACTTCTGATTGATACAAATACGCAGACTGTGCAACATGAACCAGTAGAACTGTGCAGCCAAAACCCATCTGCTGTCTGTAGCTGCCCACACAACGTCCCTGGCTATACCAAGCACCCCGGACCTGCATGCTGCTCCCCAGCGTTGAGCATGAGCTCTACCCCAAGCCTCTGCAGCCTGCTGCAGCTGACACGGGGAAATCTGCCTTGGATTTTCTGAATGAATTGAAAATATAACCAGAGAGCTGATTCCTTGACAGCGGAGACACTGAAAGAAACGACTGAGAAATCAATAGACAAGCTCAATCCAAACTCCTCAGTACATGGCCTGCAGTCACCAGAAATGACATGGTGTGTCACAAATACCCCTTGCTCTGCTGCCCCTCTGCATACTTGTGTGCCTCGGGCCAGTGACACTGCGAGTGGAAACGTCCTGAATCATGTCCAGATGCTTCTGCAGCTTACCCATTGGCACTGGGCAGTTCTGCTGGGCTTAGAAAAAGCATCTTAGGAAGTGATAGCAAAGAAAAGGCAAAAGGCCACACCGCCTGTGCCCAAATATTTCTGTGTGGTGGAGTACTCCAAAAACAGCAACATTTTCCATTTCTAAAAACAAGAATTCTGCTCATCTCTTTCTAGGTCACTCATAGCATCACACAGATAACAGATCTTAGCAAAATGTCACCAAAGATAAAGCTTGGGGTTTTCAGAACAGTGCCTCTGAAGACGTGCACTTTATTTAGGCGTCTGCACAGAGGGACAATTTTCATGTGCTCTTTCCAAGACTTTCTGTCAAAAGCATTGGCCCACATAGTATCATCATATGGGGGGATTCAGCAGTTAGGCAGGTGGGTCTGTGTGTTTCGACAGGGAAAGGAAAGCTGCAATGGTCCATTTAAACACTGATCGCAAAATAGGAAGGAGCAGTGGCCACGCCATTGTCTGTACCACCAACTTTGCTGTTTTCTGACTAACTGTGACTCCTGAGGACTGAGTCACCTAACTGATAGCTGCCAGTGCAACAGAGACAGCTTGCAGGCTGGAAACAGCAGCTCAAGCTTTTATCCCGAAACAAGCCTCTTTGCGCCCTGCTCCACTACGACTGAAATTTGCAGCTGAACAGCGGGCAAGCAGGAAGGCCTAAACATGCACAATGTACCTCATGCAAGGGAAGATTCTGCAAAATGTAGGGCTGATTGCTGGTTGCAGCACAGCTTTTGGAGTTTGATGCCAGAATGGTGCTTTCCTATCAGGTCCTGCGTAGTTCAAAAGCCTTTACTTGGAGAAAATAGAATAGTCCCTATTTTCATGAGCTAGTCAGTAAAATAATGATCTTTGGCTAAAATACATATATATATATATCACTAAGCCATAATCACAATATTATTTTCTTTTGAATACCAGTTAATGTTCAAGGTGCTTGAGTCCATCTGTGGCCATACAGATAGCAGCTGTGCCGTGTCTTGACACGAGGAGGGAAAATACATAGGCTTGTTTCTACTCTTCTCTGTTCTCGCCTGACTGGAACAAAGTTAAACAACCACAGACATAAGGAAAAATAATCGCTGAACAGAAATGGAAATGTGAAATACGTCAAATGATATTCTTTTTTTTTTTTTTTTTCTGTCGTCAGAGGTGCTCGGGGGTTGCATGTGGCCAATAAGAAAAGAATAGACAGGCAGTCTGCAGAATGGGAGATTTCTGACGGTGAAGTCCTATTGAGGGTTTTTTTTTGGAACAGTTACATATAAGACACCAAAGGAATGGTTCAGAACTACTATCCCCACCTACAGTGTTTCTTTCCCTTTTCATTTACGGTAACAATGTTCAGGCAACAGTTTGGTTTTTTCAGTTCCCACTTACTATTCATTGTGAAACTTGGTAAGATGGGCTATGTTTCAATGTTCCTCCACAACTGTACGGATTAACACATTTTTCTTCAACAGCTTTTTGCTATTATAAATGCATCCGACTGTTTGGACCATTCCTTGGGACAAATGGTTGGCATCAGTCTGTCCTAAAACTTCTGCCATTCCTCTCATTTTTATTCATGTTTATAGAAAACATATACAAATGATTCTGATTCCTTGTATAGCTGCTGAAATACTGAGTATCAAAACTAATCAAATAAATCCTCATCATTGGTACAGCAGGCAACTTAGTAATAGGCACGTTTTGGAGCAAAGAGCAGATCCGTAAGAACAAATACTGAAGTAAAACTCCATGTAACAAGAGCAACAACTGCATGGCAAACCACAAAGATCACCTTTCAAACTGAAATATTCCAAACTTTTTAATGGTAATAATAAGCCCCAAATCAAAGCTTTTACTCTAAGCCAGATTGTATGCTCAAAACCAAAGGGATTCATTTGGTTATGCCACAGAACAAGGAATCTCTCCAAACCGCACTATGAGTGCTGCCATTGCTTTTACTTAGTAACTACAAAAAATTTTATTTCAGGTTATTAATGCCTTATATTCATAGAAAAGTAAATTTAAATTCATGAACATTTAGTAGCTCTGTATGTAGATGTGGCACTGGGACATGGGTTAGTGGGCAATATTGATGGTAGGTGGACGGTTGGACTGAATGATCCTAGAGGTCTTTTCCAACCTCAATATTTCTATGATTCTATAGAATTCAGCTGAGAACAGCATGAAATATCTGAGTCCTAGTCTGTTTAGCAAAACTTGAGCTTCTATGATAGCAAGTAAAAGCCCCTCTTACTGCCATTTCCAACTCTAGAAATAATACCCAAGCTATTGACAAAGTTTCCAGGAAAAAAACATTTGCAGTAGTTGGATATCATATTTAAAGCAATCTTCAATGAGAATTTTTGATATCTGACAACAACTTTTTCAACATCTGGGAATTATCCACTGCTTGAAAACTCTCTGGTGCCTAAACACTCCTTTGGTAGACAAGTTTGCCTTTGACCATTGTTTACTCTTTTGTGTCACAAATAGTATCTATCGCTTTCACTGCCTGACACTAAACCTGGTTGATAGGTACATCAAAATTAAATCTAACTAAGTGTGTAAACTGTGAAAATTAGGTTAGGAGGCAGTTTGATTGTTTGGCAACCCTTGCAGAGTCTGTCTGGGGAAGCTGCCAATGTCTGTGCTTCGTGTGTACACAGCAGATCTGTTTGTACATCACTGCTGCCACTGTGTCTCTGGCAACTGAGAAAATGTGACCTGTCAGCAGTGGTACTTCTGTCCATGCCAATGCTGATTTGACTTCACATCACCACCTCCCACCAGCTTCACAAGAATTAATCAAAAGTCATTCATGAAAAGCTTTCACTATACAGCAGTTTTGATTTCTGCTCCACACAGCCCGCAACAAAAATTCAAAGAGCCGGGCCGTTTGACCTCATGTAGCCTTTTTCCTCCAACTCACAGCACTCTCATCAGCACTACTGAAATCATCACATCTTTATTCATGGCAAGTATTCACATTGCGAACTTTTGCCACCTTTTCCATCACACCTCTTCCTGGAGTGACCCAGTGCCATACTGACCTGCAGAGCTAGGGGCTGACAGGAAACACGCTGTGGGGGCTGTCATGGAGCTCCGGAGGAGTATGGGCCGCTTCTCAGCAACTTCTATGCTTGGTTAATTCAGTCTTTTTTGGAATAATTTTGAAGAAATCCTGTTAGGGAAATGCACTTAAAACTTCTGTTTAAATCCCACGCTTAAATCCAAGAACATCCCTTCCCCTCTCTGAGCAGTGCCCCTCGGCCCCCAAAATGGCCACTGGGTTTCTGTGTAGCTAATGCACACAGTTCAGCTTCCACCACAGCGGTTTTTTGGGGCACTTCTGTTGGAGGACAGTGTGAGAATATAACAGTTGACAGAATGCTGATGTGAACACTACATGTTTTCACATAGATTTACAAGTGCTGTCTTTAATTGTGCTGCATCTTTACTGCATTGCTTGTCATAACTTATTATACCTTTACTTACATTTTCCAAAATACTCTGTGGTTTCAAATATAAAGTATGCTCCACATTCTTGATTATATAAGCAATAACTAAGCTTATTATAAGCTTATAATAAGCAGTGACAGACTTTTAATTTACCAACAAAATAAAGTCATCTTCCTGAATGAATCAACAAAGCCACCAGGCCATTTTCAAGTAAAGCGATACCACATTGCCAGAATGACAAGTACAGCATTGCCACACAGACAGTAAACAAGAACTGAATTGGAGAAACTTCATCTGGACTTTCTATAGTGAATCATCTCTTTTTTTTTTCTTTTTCTAACAGGAGGTTGAAGAAAGGGTGATTCGTTCTACTCTGAATTCATTTTCTGTTTCATTACAGCTGTTTTCTGCAATGTCTTTTGAGCAATCTTGGAAGTGCAGCATAATAGCCCACTTACTATTAAATCAGTCCCAGCAGAAGAGAAAACCAAGTCTGTGGGAAAGAAGAAACATTTTCTCTTTGAGGTTTAGGAATAAGTGGAAAATTGGGGAGGCAGAGTTGAATGAACAAATCCTTCTCAAGGCAAAGAAAATTCATCTTTTTAAAACAGTATCCTGAAGGCAGAGCACAGACAGTCAGTATTAGGTGTAAATCATAGAATTACAGAATCACAGAACAGTTTGGGCTGAAGGGGACCAAAGATCATCAAGCTCCAACCCCCGCCATGGGCTGGTTGCCACCCACTGGATCAGACTGCCCAGGGCCCCAGCAAACTTGGCCTTGAAAAATAGCAATGTGGGCTTTGAAACTGTGAGGCACGTGGAAGCTTTTCCTCAGCCAGCAGAAAAGTGAATTCTCAGGAGGGCTGGTGAGGCAGCAACACGTTTCGTTGCAGCCAGTGATGGTGATGCTGCAGATGCACCGGGCCAGCCAGAGCTGGGGCGAGGGGAAGGAAGCGGTGGAGGAGGATGCACCGATACCACTGATGCAGCACCTAACACCACGGGAGCACCACACGCCAACATGCTCCCAGGGCCAAAGTGAAGTGAGCATAGGCTGAAAGCTAAAATAACAAGGAATCAGAGGGATAAGCCAGGTTTGAGAGAGGACCTTTTTCACAGATGGGGAAGCCTGGTTTTGAGATTCCTAACAAGGAAGCTGAAATAAACCATCATCTCTCTTACTCAGACAGCCAGCATGACCACAGAGCTATCGCTAGTTGTGACTAATGCCTAAAGCTGAGAACCTGCAGGTCTTGTGTCTTGCAGCAGGAGGTACATGCTAGGCTCTGAAGTCACTTACTTATCTACAAGATAAGTGTCACCTTCTTATCTACAAGACACCTACTGTAACCATATCTTCACCTTTTTGAACAGAAGTTTGAGGTGACCTGTGCAATGAGGTGTTCTATACCAATCGCAGAGCACTGGTGTTGTTCTTACCTCACCTGACGAGATTCAGCATGGGCAAGACCATCTTTGCAATCATGGGAGATGTATCTCAACCATACGGCTCCTCAGCAAACAGCCACCTCTCACATTAACCAGAGGACATTTACTACTTGGAGGGTGGGGGAAAGCTGCCAGAGTGCCCCAATGCTGCCTGTGTAATGGTGAAATAGCAAAAAAGCAAGCAGGATACAAGTCTTTCACACACAGGCAAGAATAGAAAGATACTGAGGAATGGGAGTGAGAAAAAAAATATGTGGGGAGAGAAGAGCAGGGGCACAGTTTAAAAAGAGATAAAGATATCTCTTCCTCCTATCAGAACAGTCTCCTTAAATGCAACCCATAGTTCCTTTCTTTCTCTTTAGCCATTTATAATGTGAACCAGTTCATACCTGTGTGCAGGCCTTGTGGAGTAGGGCTGTGGGAGAGGTACATGACAGCCTTCCTTTCATCTGTTAGCACTGGCCCACTGTTATACATTCCTGCATCTCGTGTATGGCTGCAACCCCTGCTTCTCACTTTTGATTGCCTGTTCTTGACATTAGCTGTGAATAAATGTAAAAACATATCAAGTATGGATGCAGGGAAGAAGAAGCAACAGCTCAAGGTTCCTCCAATCCTGTCCTAAGGCATATCCCAAATATTTTCAGTAATGTATCCTTTTCCTAAACAGGCACAGCAACAAAGAAGTCTTTGTGTGGGACTTAGGGTTTCCCCTTTTCAACCCACACATGAGCAACAACCTTAACAAGAGGAGGAGTTCGTAGAGTAGCTATGATGTCATTCAGACATCAAACCTGTCAATCTACAACCTCCTGATGATGTGTATGTAGTGCATTCAGGCAAAAATCCTACAGTGGTTGTAGAACTGTAAAACATTCTAAGCTGGAATGTACCCACAAGCATCACTGAGTCCAACTCTTGGCTTCACACAGAACCACCCAAAAATCAAATCATATACGTGAGGGCATTGGTCAACTCTCCAACTAGGCACCCTAGGGTAATTTAGCCAGTGGTGGATCTGGGCTGCTATTCTTGCACTGTTGTGATGTCTACACTATTACAAGCCAGCTGTTGGGAACCTGGCAAAAGTCTGTTTCCATTCTGGCAGGGAAGCCAGAACAGGTCAGTTTCACCCATCTTTTCCAGTACAGTGCTACCCATAGGATTGCTGTTCCTCAGATACTTCAAATCCTGCTTCTTCTACTGTGCTCTGCATGAAAACTTTAGCTAGCCCCTTCATCAGCCAGGCTTCTGAAAAGGAAGCTGAGGGCTACTCTTCTCCTTTCCTACATTCTAGAAGAAGTTCACTTCATCTAGGTCTAGTCTTCAATCATGGAAAAGATTGCCTGTTTTACTACTAATGCTGGAGCTCTTCTGTTAAATTTTTTCACTCCAATTTCCTGGAATAAAAAATAAGTCATTTCCCCTCTGAGAGCTCAGGGAAGAGAAGACTGGCACAAAGGCTCAGCCTACGTAACTGAATGGCTCCATAAGATGCTATGGCATAAACCACCAATCAGTATAAATGGTTTGCACAAGACTTACCCGCTACTCACACTTCATTATTTTTAAACATCTGAGTGCTCATTTATTCCCATCTGTGTGATCTACTAGGATTACTTATCGTTCTGCTCAGCAATACACAATGTATGGAATAAAATAATGCAGGTGAACAATGGTATTTGTGCTGCTGCTGTTCTCCATACTGAGTCAAATGAAGCATCTGAAGTCCATAGTGTTGTTAGCTCTGTTTGCTTTGCTAGCTCTCCCAGCTGTTCTCACACACAGTCATGCAGCATACAAACAACAGTATTATTAGTGAGCAGATCGAGCACTATTTAGATCTTTGGTGCTTGAAGGGAAGAGGTTATTTGCTTTCCTTCTAGATAATGGTCTATCAAAATATAAACCGCTCCACCCTGGTTTCAAAACACCAACATGCTAAGGTGGGGTAAACCAACTGCATTTTCTTCCTGCCTTTTTTTAATAAACATTTTTGTTCATCTTCAAGCAACAGCAGTTAAGCAAAAAAACAAAAAACAAAAAAACAACAAAAAAACACAACACTGAGCAACGTATAGGAGACTCACCTCAAAGACAGTCTTTCTTGCTATCCACACACAACATCATCGATTTTTGAAAAAATCATGTTCCTAATACCTGTGCATAATACAGAACATCAAGTTAGAGGACAGAGAATGCAAGAACCGGACTGGTCATAGTGCTGTGATGCCTGTCTGCCTCTCCTTTGCAGATATACTGAAGCAGCTCTCAGGGCTTACTTGGAAAGGAGCAGAGCAAATTGCACCAAGGGCTTGTGCGGTGCCTGGCCTAGTGTGGTCCCTGTGGGGAGAGCTCTGCCATTCTCATGCTGAAGCTCTCAGGCTGGAGGGCAACTTCGCTGTGCATCAGTGTTATTTCATAAATGCAACTGGGCTTTCTCTGCACGCACTCTAAGAAGCAAAAATAGGGAGAAAAAAAAAAAAAAAAGATGCTTCAAAAAACGATTTCATTTTAAATACTCTAAATCTACTTAGGTTTCTAAAGTACGTAAAAAGTAGAAGTCTGATTGCCATACAAAGGAGACTTGAGAAGAAAACTCAGCTACTTGTGCAAGTTAAATTTGAGAATGGTCACCTCGTGATGACTTATATTGGTTTTTGAATATACATGGACCACATCTTTCCCCTAAGCACTTACATCTCCTTAAATCTCAGCCTATGCAGGAAGGACTGGTTTATCTTTTGTAAGAGTGCATGGGTTTTAAGTTGAAAGGCTTCAGGGCATTTCATTAATTAGAAGTAAGAGATAATAGATACTTTGTGTTTTAAGTTACTTCCTACTGTATCCTCTTGATAAAATGAAGGCAATACGCCCTCACAATTTTCCATTTACACGGAATTCCACCAGTTTAATCAAAGTGAAACATAAGGTACTGTTATGGTCCTTGTACCTTCAGATTTCCTTACTGATAACCCACATACTATCCGTTAACCCATTGCATCATTCAGAAGAATAAACAACTTGGGCTCATTATACAGGAAGCTGAACAAAAAGGAAATAGAAAATATTAGCTTTCAAATATATATATTGGCCTTTGCACAGTTCAGACTGACATATTTTTACAGATCAAGGCTCTTCTTCAGAACAACCTGCTAACTAAAGAGAGAAAAAGTAGTTCCTATTTTACTTTACTAGTTTACTTTTTCAAGTAAACTATTTTGTTACACAATTTCCATCCCTAAAGGATGGATCTGGTGGTTGATAAAGGGTGCAAACGTCAAGACTTTATTTGTATTCTTTTATAGCAAGGTATTGAAAATCATTCAGGCTATACCAGCATGAGTGTGCATTTTTCTAAGCATCCTCCTGGTTTAGTAATATTACCACATGTACGTCAACGTGTATGTCTATGCTCCATGGACTTGGGACACTAATTGCTTTAACAGTGCTGAGATGATTATAAAAGCATTGTCTCAGCTTACAAGGTTGAAATAAATTGAATATGAACTAACTTTGCATAAATTAGGAAAGCATGCTGGCATCATAATGTCAAAGGGCAAATGTCTTCACACATAGTTTCTTTCTTTTATGTCTTTAATGTCTGGGATGCTTTTACCTCCTGTATCTAAAGGCAGCTTTTGATGGGTGGGGCTGCCATATGCAACAGCTGGCATGGGGTCTGAGCCCCAGGGAAGAGCAACAGCCACAGGATGGAGGCGCAGGACAATTCTTGGTGCTCCTCTTCTGAGCATCAGCTCTCATGGAGAAACAGCCAAAGAGATGTTCCATACTTTATAATATCGTATTCAGCAATTAGATCCACAGTGTCTCTAAGCCATTGCTTAGAGATTGGCTGGCTCCTCCTTGCAGAAATCACTGATTTGTAGGGGATGAAAGGGATCTTTAAAGATCATCAAGTTCAACTCTTTGCTAGAACAGATCCTCTACAGTATGATTCCAAATATCCAGGCAGGCTTTGAGTATCTTCAGAGAAGGAGACTTCACAACCTCTCTGGGCAGCCTGTTCTAGTGCTCTGTCACCCCCATAGCAAAGAATTCTTTTCTCATGCTCATATGGAACTTCCTATGTTCTAGTTGTTGCCCCTTGTCCTGTTGCTGGGCACCACAAAAAAGAGCCTAGCCTGGGCCTCTTGACTCCTGCCCATCAGATACTTATAAGCATCGATAAGATCCCCTCTCAACCTCTTCTCCAAGCTGAAGAGATCCAGGTTACTCAGCCTTTCCTCATAAAGGAGATGCTCCAGGCCCCTCGTCATCCTTGTCGCCCTCCACCAGGCTCTCTCTAGGAGAACCGAGGAGCCCAGATACACAGTACTCCAGATGTGACTTCACTAGGGCAAGGGGGAGAAAGGCGAACCTTCCTCAGGGCCAGGGAAGAGATGAAGTTGTCTTTACTTCCTTTTTTACTCCCTCTTTCATTCACTTACTAAGTGCTGTGTTCAGACACGAGATTTTTGCTTTTGTTCCTCCCGCATCCAGCTGCAGGAGGGAGTGAGTTTCTGTGTGGGTGTTTAGCTGGTGGCTGGGGTCATCTCACAGCAATGGGAAAGAGCTTGGTGTTTGAAAGAGGCTGGAAGCAGTCGCTTATGTTCTGGATGTTTGCCAACCCCACAGAACCATGCCTCATACGCTTCTGCAGTGTATCACAATCGTAGAATGGCTTAGGTTGGAAAGGATCTTAAGGATCATCTAGTTCCAATCCCCTGCCATGGGCAGGGCTGCCAACCACCACATCAGGCTGCCGAGGGCCCCAGCAAACCTGGCCTCGAATTGCAACATAGAGGCACTGTTCCCACATGCTTCTTCTTCTTATGGCCAATAATGAAAAAAGCACCTGATTCTAGATAGAAAGTTTAAACAGCACCAGTCAGGGTGTAATTCTATCCAGGTTACCCAGTCACCATTCAAGCATCTGAGCAACAGTCCACTGAAGAGAAGGATGCAACACAGTTCTATATTTAACAGGACCTGCTTGTATAGCTACATCTTCCAACAGCATACAGATGACCTAGAAAGTACATACTACTACTGCTGCTATAGAATTAGTGTCTTGCTGAGGGATTGGACCCTAACCAGGCAGCATAAAATACTCCTCCTTGAAACAAGCAGAGTACCACCAGAAGAAGCCATTTTGCCAACTCATTTGTAACTGGGAAAACATAGTTTCCTCTTTTCTTTCCTTCTGTTTTATGATTTTCTGTGGGATAAGGGAGCCTTATCCACTTAAAACTGAATTAGGTAATGCAACTCCCAGTACAGTGTCTTACCACTACAATAGCTTGTTATTAAAGCTGGCACACAGATTAATGATTGAGGTGGTGTAAGACTTTATAACAAAGGTTATTTTTTATTTCTTCTGTATTTGATTAAACTTCTTTACAATGGGAATACCTTTCTCCATAATTTATATCACAGTCCAAGAAAAGGGATGGCTAGGTTATTTCTAAGGCTACTTGTGAAATAGATAATATATCTTAAACAAACCTTGCAAATATAAAAAACTACTTTGGGTTAAGTACAGGTAATTTTCTTATACATATCACATTGTTCATATTGAAGACTAACTTTTCAGTCACATTCATAAATTTTCAGTGGGATTGAATCACATTATTTGGTCACATTAGCTTATTGCAAGGCTGCTTGTGAACTCTGACACTATTTTTTTGCTTATGCTATTGCAATAAAGAAATGTAACCAACAGATTTATACTGAAATTCTTCTAGGGTTTACCCACTGGGAAATCAATACAGAAAGAAGATTAATTCTGGGGGTATAATATCTGGTGGTTGTAGGAGAATTCCTTGACATATAGCAGAGAGCTAGATCAATCCTGATTAAGTAAAGCATCTGCAGAGGTGCAGAGCAGAAACGCAACACTGCCTTGTTGTGTAGGCAGGCTGAGTGCTGTTCAGTACCACACAAAGCCCAGACCCTGCTGGGTAGAGGTCCTCTGCATGCATACACTCATGCTTCTGCACACTGACACATTTGACTTTGAAGTGGACCTCACTTTCGCAAAAGGCAAAATCCAGTATATGCTATGTATTTTTTTCTCTGCTTTCTTTCTGTAAAGCATTAGCATAAGGAGATAAGCCCTTGTACTTTGTACATCTTCTCACCTTTTCTGATAAAAGAGTTCTCCATAGCTCTGGGATATTCGCTGCTCCGCTCCGATGATAGGGGAAGCACTGGCACCTGCTAATAAACCAGTTTATTATCAGGTAAACATAGGTTAACAAAATACTGCTCACCATAGCACTGGACATTAGACACCTGTTTTTAAGTTGCTGTGGCATTCTGCAACTTCACTGAAACCATGGCGTAAGTCTGCTAGATAGAGAAGTGAGAGACAACAATAAAATGAAGCAGGAGCTGAACTCACATGTGAGAAGATTTCATCTTCTTTCTGTCTCTCAACAAAAGCATCTACATAATTATCTTCTGGGGATGTTAACTGTATTTACATTGCTGACGCTATTCACAAGTCCACTAGAGAGCAGCTATGCCTCACATTTACTGTTTTTTCTTTCTTTTTTTTTTTTTTTTCTATTAGTTTCTCTGACATTTACTGCACTTAACACAAATGACTAATCAGACCTGAAAAGCTTTCCCAGTACTAGACTGAGGAACAACACAGGAATGGACTCGTTGCTCTGATTCAAACCACTGTAATCTCTTTCTTACCTCTGATCTGCTTATTCATACCAAATTGCAGTATCGTTCTTACAGAAATCCAGTACCTGAAGGGGGCCTGCAGGGGAGACTTTTTGTAAGAGCAGGTAGTGACAGGATGAGGGGAAATGGCTTTAAACTGGAAGAGGGTAGGTTTAGACTATATATTGGGAAGAAATTCTTCACTGTGACAGTGATGACAAACTGGAACAGGTTGCCCAGTGAGGTTGTGAATGCCCCCTCCCTGGAAGGGAGCCAGGCCAGCCTGGATGGGACTTTGAGCAACCTGCTCTAGAGGGAGGTGTCTCTGCCGATAAGCAGGGGAGTTGAAACTAGATGAACATAAAGGTCTCTTCCATCCCAAACCATTCTATGATTCTATGAAATCTTCATTCATATTCTGGTTTGGGACATTTCATTTAAGCTGAAGAAATGCAGAGCTGGTTTAGAGGCTTTTCCTCAAGCAAGCCTTGAGTAACCTGCATCATGCTTTCCACTGCATACCTTCAAGAAGGGTGGGAGTGCAGATTTTTTTGGAAGAAGTCCATTGCAAGGTTCAGTCATAGTGCTCACTGTGCTTCCAGCACCTTGCTTGTTCTTTCCAGTCAATGGATAAAACAGGAATTGAAAAATAGATAACTGAAGTTCTTGTGTATCATTTCCCCTAAGCACAAAGAAGTCTGTGCAGGTCCATGGCATAGCAGTCCATATCAACCCATATAAGGCCATCTTCCACTTAACTTATGGAAGATGTTAAACAACAGCAAAGAATATTTTACATAAATAAGGAGGTATAAAAATGTTATTGTATAAAATATTGGCTTCTCCTGGTTATTATTGTAATATTCGAAAGTAAATGGGTTAAACAGGCCTTCCTGTAAAACATCAATCAGCAGGCTAAATATAAAGGCACACTTCAAATTCCAAAAGTCACACTATTTAACTTGTAAAGGAGAAAAAAGAAACAACAACAAAAGAAATGACTGCTTGTCCAAAAAGCTGGTAAGTCAGATTCCTTAGCTTGGTCTGTTAATGAACAAAGCAACTCATTCTGGCCCTGTTAGAAGAAGAAAAGCATTACTAAAGTAGAGGAACATCAGCCTTTCTCCAGCCTCCAGACTTCAGTCAGATATATGCTTGCCAGGTTTTCCCTAAACCACACAGGCTTTTTACAGCTCTTCCAGATTTTTCCAAGAGAATGACTGGTAAAGGCTGCACTGCCTAAAGCAGGGTGCTGGGGTGAACCTTACATTTGTCAGAAGATGTATGCAGTGGCACAAAACACACTGCAGTTTCTGAGATGACAAAGCAAAAGGAATTCACTTCAGGATTAATATTCTGCATCAGACTATGAAGAAAAAGTTCTTTCCCAGCTCATAAAAACTATTAAAAAGAAATAACTGCAGTCTGAAATATTATAAACAGAAAATTGAAATGCTCATGTGAAAGTGTCAACATGAAATATTTTGATACTTCAAGTTATTCGTTTCATTAGAAAGTGAATAAAATCAATACAATCAAATAGGAACTGATAAGAGGAAAAATATGTTTTGTTTGATGCTTAGGCACTGAAATAATCTAGCAATAGAAGAGACAACAAGGCAAGGCAGAGATTGAGCAGGGAGAGCTTCTAAAGCATTTGACTATATCAGAAGGTAAAACAGTTCAATCTTTGTTCAATGTAAGGACGATTTAAGTAAACTGAATGATGGTTTTTATCTCAGGAAAACTCAGCATGGTCAACACAGAAATGTGGAGGGCAGTGGCAAGAAGAAAACAGGATGACAGCTACAGTGTCTATTGCTTTCTTCAACATGCAGCATTTTTAATGGCACCTTCCAAAATAGAGTAATGTTCGTCTTCAATTTCCTCCTGCAGATCCGCCGCAACAGCAATCTGAAAGAACGTCAGCCTCCTTTGATCTCCCCATACTGTTTTGGAAATTGCGTATTCGTCTCCTCTGTTCCTTCAGGCCATTTCTGACAAAAGCATTCTAACAAAAGCAAAGAGTTTTCCAGTTCTCATCTTTAATGTTTCCACTTCCCTCTGTGCTGTCACCCTTTGTGTAGCAACATCATATAGAATTATTTTGCAGACTGTAGAGTCCAATTGGCATCTTCTTACTGTATGGTGCACGGCATGGACACAAGTATGGAAGATCAGGGTGCTGAGGCTAAAAGAACTGCTGTCTGTGCACTGTTTGACCAGTCCAAAGGGCAAGTAAAATACAAGGTTCCTACTGATTTCAGCTCTTAACACTTTCTTTTGCTTGTGGCTGGGCTACAAGCACATACACAGTTGCCAGAAATGGCTCTGCTGATGGCAATAGTGGATGAAGTTCTGAGCTGAAGGTGAAGGCTGGGTAGGTCACATCCACCCTACCAGGGCATGATGCAGTTTGGTCTGGGTCATTCTGCAAACTCATTCCCTGAAAGCAAACACAAAGCTAGTGAATGGCTGGTACTGGAAAGAACGTCCTTTTGAGTTGGGCCCTCAACACTGGGAGATTAAGTCAGTTGAATGGGAGATGTAAGCTGTTGCTTTTGCTCCATATTGCCACAGCACTGCAATGAGAGGACAGGGCTGCCTGTTGCTGGTGTACAGTAATTATGCACCGCTGCCTATCTTCAGCCACCAACAGGCAGGTCGGCTGGGAGGAAGACCAGTCCCAGAAAGACAAGTAGAAATGGAGTGGCTTAGAACCACTTTAAAATGCTGCCAACCAGGTATCAAGAACTGTAGTTACAGAGCAAAGGAGAAAAAAAGAGGAACAGATAGTTTTTCATAGGGTTCAGTAACAGTGCAGTTGTGTAATCCCTGTGACAACCAGCAGAAGATGTGGACTGAAAATTCTGATATACAGAGGAAAACAGAATCTCAAGATACTACTTACAGGTAAATTTCGGATGCTCAAAAAGACAGTACTTCTCTGGTTATCTACATTTTCCATGCTTGCAATGATTATGGAGGAAAAAGGTTATTTGCCATTGATTTCAGCTAGCACCTGAAGCGGACCCTCATTTTTCTCTCAGCTTCCCACAAGTCAGTTCAGGTAAACAGCATGGTATGCTCAAAGAATCTGGTGTCATAATTCTGCAACAAGCATACAAATAACAGGCAATAAAAAATGTAATTGTCCAGAAAACTAACTTAAGATAGCAATTTTACCATTTGCTTATATACTTACTTGCAGCTGCAGTTGTAATGATTATCAGCTCAGGTTTCTGGAAAGAAAACACCAGCAGGACAAGACATCTTTATTTTCCAGTGAATCGTACAATAAGAGAGTAATACTTCTTTTTTTCCTTTTTGAAAAGAAACAAGTCTCCTATCAGAACCAATGAAGTTGTAGGAAGGAACTAAAACCTATGGCTTTCTATTGATGTTTTGATATAGAAATGAAATTACTGAAAATTATTAACATGAAACTTGACAGTCTCCCTCGACAGTAGGTGATGACACTTTCAATCTTTGCTCACAAAGAAGTATTATATAATCTTCGACTAAAGCTTCCTGACAGATTTTTGTACTCCCACAAATGCAATGAGTAGTTGCTTTGCACCTAGGGTCATTTATTTACACGGGAATTGGAACCAGATGATCTTACAGGTCCCTTCCAACCAAGCCATTCTATAATTCTATGACCCTATATTTTAGCAAGTAACTTTGTTTTGTACCTCAAATGTTCTTTTTCTTTTCTTTTGTATTTTATTCAAAGGTCTTTGATCATCTTGTTTCCCTAGATTTGCTTACTATGTTTAACCACAGAGAATGGCACACATGCTCCTGGGAATTTACTTCTCAGAGGCAATACTTCTGTTGGTACTAAGTGTAGTTCTGCTGCTTGTGACAGAAAGGAAGGTGATTTGCCACTATTAGAGGTTCAGCTATCTATTATTGCCACAGCTCAGCTTTCTGGGGATTTCAATGATGGCAGGCACTCACCAGAGCAGAAGGCAGAAGCAGAAGTGTAAATGAGGAAGGTAAGAGTCCATGGTGGGTCCCAGTTCCAGTTTGGCAATGCAGTTGTGGATGTATTTCTTCTGAAGCTACACAGCATGAACAAGCCAAAAAATTTATTTTCTCCTCCTTCCAATTCCGGTTACACATACCTGCTGTGATATCCTTTGCACCAACATCAGCATATTTCACTTGTCAAGAAACTGCATTATTTCACTGTACCTAGCATAAAATAAAAGGGAAAAAAAAATGCATTAACTGACTAAGAGATGACTTACACTGTTTTGCTTGTTTGATGCAACTTCAACTGTTTAAGCTGCAGATACATCTTGCATTTGCCCTGCATGTGAACTTATCAGTTTGCAGAGACTGTCTGAAAGACAACAGATACCTTGGTTTATTCTAAACTATCTTACTTTGTTGTGTTGCTTTTTTTTAATATCATATTCTCACTTGGAAGGTTTTTATTTCATAACGTCTATGTGACTTCTCACAGCTCATTTCTCTGTTTGTTTCCCCACCCGATAAATACTTTCTTCTCAACTGCAACTCCAAGTATTTAATTTTAATTTCCTTCTTAGAACTTAATCAAAATCAAGGATATTTTTATTACTCTCCCTTTTAAGGTCAAAACAGGTTCACAGAACATCTTAAAACATTTCCATTATTGTTTCCACTGAATGCAGGGAAAACATAATGTTGACTTCATTAAAAAAAATAGAATAAAATCACACCAGAGATAATTTTCATAAATTAGATGTACAGATTTCACCGTTCAGAAACAAGGATGTCAAACGTGTCCAGCTTGTGCATCCTCCTACACAGAACCACAAGGTTTCAATGATAAGTTACTGAAACCACAGCATTCAGCTTTTTGTCCAAGACTACTGAACGGGTGCTGCTGCTGCAGTGCGATGACTGATCGCACATTAGTTTTTCCAGGGTTCACTAAAGGTGCTGACCTGTGAAAAAAAATGAAACTCATTATGCAAAGCAACTGTATCATTTAGCTTTTAAAATGTGTACGAGTGCACACATATAAGATAAATCTGTTGATGCAGGTATACACATTCACGTCCGTTATATGCATCTGGCTGCAGATGAAGGCAGACCAAACAATTTCTGAAAAAATAGACCAAGCTTTTTTCTTTTCTAGAGATATTGCATTTGAGTTTTATCTGTTAAGTATAGTATTAGGCAGCAGCCTCTGAGCATTCTGTAACCTGCTGTAAACAATGAAATAGTACATTTACTGAAGCATAAAGTCATAACAAAGTACATTATATTCAAAGAGTACGAGAAATGGGACAGTTTGTATTGCTATTTAAGACAATTCTATAATGGTATAGTTGCAACCACATCGGAGATGTTATTGATATAATTGCCTGGAAAACAAAACAAAACAAAACAAAACAAAACAAAACAAACAAACAAAACTCAACAAAATGGTGACATAATACCAGCAAATTTTAAATGTAGACCAGGCTGCTGGGTTAAGACTTTCCTAAATTCTCTTCCTTAAAATGATTCTGTCAGAAACTATGTTTCAGCCACAGTGAAAGGGCTTAATTCTATTTGCACTGGCAAACAATTGCTGTTCCTGGAATGCTGTTGCTCAGTGATACCCAGTGGCCCCCTCGGCCCTGTGTGCTAGGAGGTACTTGTTGCGTAGGCGATCCATGGTTTTGATCTGCAGCAGAGCCATTAGAAGAGGAGTTTCTGACTTCTAGCAATGCACTGCTCGTTGTAAACCTGTTGTGCTATGGAGAAAGCAGAGTTGGTAGTAAAATAATTCTAATCAAAATGAAGCAAAACGAACAGGCAAACTCCCTAACTGTTCGCTAGAAGGACTTTTAACTTGGATTGTTCCATTGATACCAGCAGCTGTAACAGAGGCTCCTGAAAGACAAATAAACTGTGACGCAGAGCCACAAGAGAATGGTGGTGACATGGAGTAGAAAGTTCTTTAACTGGCTTTGTTGCTGAAGAAGGCACTTGTGCTACTACAACTTGAGGTTTGCAGGGGTGCCTCCTGCATCAGCCTGCTCTTTGGTTACACAGCGTGACAATAGAGCCTCTTCTCTGTGCAGGAGCTGAAGCACAAGCTTCTGATGGCTCACACAGTGGTTTGCAGCACTCAGTGTAGTAGTGCACAATAGAAGCTGAGGAGCTGGTCTGCAAGCAGATATGTGGAGTCACTTCAAGGGGAGGCAGACCACATCCTCCTGTGTATTCTCACGCTGCTCCTCTGCATTCACCATTTCTCACTGTGCCACAGAAATGCCCCAGCCTGGTATGGCATGACACAGTTCCTTGACCTGGGAAACAAAAGCCATGGCAGGAAAACAATGTCAATGAGTTTACTGATCTTCAAACCAGAAGTATCATTAAATAATTCTAATAAAAACTGTGTATGCATGCACAGACATTAAGACACTTATGATCAGTAGTAAAATCTAAAGATATTTTGGTAATGCAAGAGAACCCAAAACTATTTAGAAATAAAAGCAGTATTCAGTTATCCGCTTCTACCAACACATGCCAAAAAAGTAAAACATAATAAAAAGCAAAAAACTGTATTTGATTTTAAAGATAAATTGATGTAGAAGGTATCTGTAAGGAAGATAAAATCAGTGCATATTTGCTGGAAAAGAGGGAAGAGAGGCCACAGTCTCTCCCCCCAAAAAATATGTCCTATTGTTTGCTCTAGACCACGCAATAGGGAAACAATTTTACTGCTGGAGAGATCCCAAACCAGCACAGCAGCCTCATCAAACCCAGAGAATGACTTCCAAAATCCATAACAAACCTGTAATTTTGATATTGAAATAGCAGACTGCAATGTCAAAACTGACACTACAGGAAGGCCCAAAAGCCAGTGGTTTTTGTATGTCACACACGGCCAGAAACTGCAGCAAATTTGCCCATTCTGAGCCTGTAGTGGCTTGGTTTTTACTTGTTTGATAGTGTTGATATTGTGAAATAGAAGTAAATTTCTTTCAACTTCTGTTCCCCTTCTTCATAAACATTAATAAATTAACAAAGACTGAACTTTTTCTTTGTGTTGTTCTGCTTTCTCTGTTCCCTGTCCAACATCTGCATACATCTCATTTGACTTCTCTTTCTGAACATTTTGAATGAACAGGACATTTACATTTGGGTTTCAGTACCACCACGTCACAGTTTGTCACACAACATGCCATACTGTTCTTTAATGGAATTATTCCAAAACATGTTTCATACAGAGAACACTCCTGTGGTAGAAAGATTGCACACCCACTGGCCATGCTTCCTAAGATCTGAAGAGCCACAGAGAAATGCCACCATGCAGCTGCAGGAGATTTCATTGCTGCAATACAGAAAAGGAGCACTGACTTTTCTTGCTTATAGCCCTCATCTCCCTGTATACGTGTGTCTTTCAGCTGAAGAACTACTTTCTGTCCTCAAATTGCTATCTTGATATCCTGACAGCTGCTGCCTTGCCTACTGAAGGTGGCTGTCCTTTAGTAGTGGGGAAAGATGTGCTGTGAATAAAAATGAAGATGCCCTATAGAAGCTGGAACACAGCACAAGCACAGAAAAAGCTCTGAGCTCTTATCGTTACCAAGATTGAACTGATAATGACTTATGCGGGAGAGCACAGCCGAGATGTGAAAGAGACTGGATGACGTGAATGCCTGCAATGGCAGAAGACTAGACTCAGTGACCCAGCAAGGCTTCTTCCTTCCTACATGCAGAGAAAGGTACTACCCAGAAGGTGGGTGACTGCTCCAACAATAAAAGGAAGACTTGAAGTGATATGGCCTCAAAAGGACAGTTCTTCTGAGCATCTTGTGCTGTGCATAGCTGGTCCAGCCTTGCGTCAGGCTCTGGATGTCTCAATACAGGCATTTCTCAATACAGTTTGTCATTATTTGTTGATAAGAAATACATCAACCACACTTCATGCATAAGAAGACACCATTGGGTTGACTGAGGAGCAAGATGCATCTGGTATTTAACAAATATACAATTACTGTTAACGATAAATTGTTCTGCTTTACAGTCATTGTCACACCTTCAGAAAAAAAAAAAAGGAAAAAAAAAGAACACTAAGACTATAACACTTGGTACAAAGCAAATGAGACAGTACGGGAACATTTGCAAATGGCTTTGCATTACTCATGCATCTTCACTAACTGAAGCTGTTTCCAAAACTTAGACAAAAACATGAACAGGGCTGTATTAGATTCAGAAAGTCTCTGCCTGTTCTTGAAAGCAGGTTCTATTTTCCATCCAAGTCTCTTTCATTCTTACATTACCTTTTTCTGTTGCGTGATGGCATTGCATCTCAGCCCTATCTGCAATCAAGAACCAGAGGTTATAATGTAGCTGATGTTCACTACTCAAAGAGTAAAAAAATGATTTTTAAATCTAGTAATAGCCAGAGGCTGAACACAGGCATACCCACACTGCCTAGGTACCAGCTCAGCCCCTACTATGAACAGATATGGGGGTTCTTTGACACTCATGGAAGTTCTCCACAGACAGAAGAAATCCATCCAGTGATTTCTCTGTACTACATACCAAGTCTGATTTGTCTCTTCTCAATGACCTTTGGATTTGTAAAAAGTGTGGGACAGGTATGATGCCTTGCCAGCTCCAGGACTGTGAGCTAGTTCTGCTCCAGGTGTCCATCACTTTGTACTCGTTAAAAGAAAAAAGTACTGGGGCTTGCGGAGTCACATATTTAGTCCCCATGTAGAAAACACTCTACCTGTTTGGGGAATTTCTTGCTCATGACTTTGGTCTGGTTGGACAATTATGGTAATGAAATGTTTATCATGAAGAGTAGCAGGAGGATTACTCTGGTTTTTTTTTCAGTATCCAGAAGCAAAGAAGATGGAGTACAACACAGTTACTTTAATCTGACTCGCCAATAATGAACTTGTAAGATTCTACTTTATAACTCAGCCAGATGAGCACTTGTGCTCTTTTCCTTGCTATATATATATAATACACTGTCTCCTCACACAGCCACTCCCTTTGTTCTTTCAATTCCTTCATCTACTGCATGGGATCTTTTTATTTGCCAAATCTACTTCAACGTGGATTAGAAACTATAACATAACATTGTGGAGGAACATTATGGAGAATCTCAATAATTTTATTGTACTATATGCAGTCTATAAATTTTTCAGTGCCTTTTCAGCACACTGAGAGTTGTATTTTTTCTGATTTTCATAGAAAATATAACTTATAGCTAAGAAGAGGTTTTTTTCCCTGCTTTTGGTAGTTAGTTTTCCTCTTTTCTAAGCAAGGTTAGAAGACAGAAGACCTACACAAAGTTAAGAAGAAGAAAATAATATTTGGAGAGAGTTGTCAGAAATATTTTATAAACTAGTTTTCCTAGATCTGTTTTATAAAGGTCCTCTTTCTAGGCTCACATTTTCCAGTTTGCTTTCCTACATTCTCCCCATGGACGGCATACATGTGGAACGTCACATACATAAGTTACAAAAATTCTTTGAAAGCAGCTCCGTGCATTACAGGCTTCTCCTTTTTTTTTTTTTTTTTTGGCTGAGCCATAGCAATGAGTAAGCTATAGGAAAAGCCTCCATTCAGCTACACTGTAAAGGAAAATGTGGGTGGGGAAACCAGGTTTTCAGGGTCGAAGTCATTCAGTACTTGGGTGTTGAGTGGCAATGTCGCAAAAAGGAAAGAGGAGGACTTCACTTAATGGGCCAGGGATGGGAGGTTTTTCAGATTTCCACTCTGCAGCCATCCCTCCAAGGCCAGGCAGGTGACTGTGTGAGAGTGAGTATCATTATTTGACTCAGCATGTTCCTAAGCCACAAAAGAGAAGTGACGTATATAAAAACCATGTTGCTCGCTCTTATCTGATGAGAGGGATATCAAGGAGTTTTCTCCACTGCCTAGACAAAAAGGAAGCTCTGTGTCCTTATATTTCACTTTCTCTGTCAGTGTGCCTTTCTTCAAACAATTATTATGTTCTTAGAGCCTCTAACACAAAACAGAAGACTACACAAATTTAGAGAAATGATATGCAATCACTTGCTATCACATTACCAAATAATTAGTTGTTTAGTTTCCTATTCTAATTGCTCCATCGACTTCACAACTGATTTACAATACAACAGATTTAATTGAGGAATATTTTAGATAGAGTTGTCTCATTAGTATACCTCCAATTAGCCCATGAATTATCCTGCTAGACTGGTAAAGAGATGAGGTCTGCCAAATTTTTGTGATGCTTCTGGGTATTAAGTGACAATGCTTCACTAAATACCTGCTGCCCAAGTGCTCTCTGATGCTGTTTTACAGGTACCTTTTCACACATAAGGTTCCACTGTAAAATAGACAGGGATTTTCAAAACTGCCACCTACCATTCACATTAATGTCTCCTCTGATGTAATAAACTGCCTTTTACAGTGCATTGATATAAAAAGTGTTTTTGGGACTACATGCAGCATGCACAACCTGGCATCTATCAGCAGAGTTCTCCCTTAGTTTGCAATGTCATTAAATATTCCAGAATGTGGAGAACCAGAGTCTAACAAAACGGCTTTTTTTTTTTTTAAAAATGAAGCTTGCAATGACACAGCCTCCTTTAAACAAGAAGAGAATTTTAAAACAGTTCTCAACATGCTTGAGCTTGATTCAGGGAATTTAAAGCTGTCTTTGCCTGCCATTGTAATTATTTTCTTTCCTACAGTGACAATCTCAGGACCACTCATGCACAACTGTCTCATTGTTTTTCAGACTATCACTAGAAGCTGCTCTAATTTAAACTCTGATCACTGCATTAGACCCATAATTATTACTTTAGGAAAAGAAAAAAAAAAACACCAAAAGATGACAATTAAAATGGTTGTTAGCTACACAGGTATGGTTCTTCTATACAGCTGTAGGTCATGGTCAAGTGTGAGAGTACAGTCCTGGGAATCTGCAAATGACTCCCAGTGACACAGTAATATCCACAGTGTAGCTGTGCGTTGCTCATGTCCAACAAATTATCAAGGACCAACAAAAATGCAATTTTAGTCAGTAATAAGTGAATCACATCCAGATGGTTCAATACAATATTATAGCTCCTGCACAGTGAGATGCTGGGACCTCATCCAGAATATTATCAACCATTCCAATGGAGGTGTCTGCCAATCCAATGGAGGTGTGCAGAGCAGAATGGATGGGATGATCAGAGGACAGGGACACTTAAAGGCATCAGTGTGCTTAGTCTGGGGTCCAAGGGGGTCTGACTGCTCTCTGTAAGCTAAGCAAATGAGAAAACATCAGTTTTCAGTTTTCAGAGAAAACAATCTAAGCTGAATGACAGCATCAGTGTAAGAACAGAAGTGACTAAGCTAACAGTCGGTGCCATCAAGGCTGGAAGTAAAAATGTCTCTGATTGCTAAGCATAGAGACTTTAAGAACCAACTATGGAAGTAAAGACAACAGTTAAATAATTATGACATATTGTCATGGCAGTCGATAGGAGCTGATGCCTCTGTGTTTCCCATTCAAGCCCTGAGTTCCTGAAAATACACGGACAGCACTAACTGAAGTTCTTGAGTGGTCCTGAAGTTGTCTGGTCAATGCAGTGGCTTTTTTGCATGAGTAACTGGCAACCATCTAATAAGCTAACAGAGTCAATCTCACATCCAAATGAAAACCTTCCAACCTATCAACCAAATAAAGCTGCCTAAAATAAAAGCTAGAATAAAAGCTAGACAGAAGCTGGCCTCAAAGAAATTTCTCAAAAAAATTCTAATTTGAAACACTGACAATAAAGGCAGAAACATACATATCACTGGTCTGCTCCTTAACTATGAATGCTCCAATGGCATTATCGAAAACCGTATTGAGAATACAATGTATGTTTATCTAAATTACTTGTCAATAACCTACAGAGAAGATGAAGATTCAGTTAGGTTAAAGAGGAGCAGACTTTAAGTATCAGCTTCACATAAACAATACCACAATAATAATCTCTTCATCCCTTCAGCAGCTTCACAGAGGTGTTAAACAATAGATTTGAAAACAACAAACTGTACAAAAATTCACACAAATAAGGTGAAAGAAGGGATAAAAATAAGTACTGGTTATGGTTTCTCAAACAAAGTGTCTCTACTGCTTCTGATTTCCACTTATGAACGTTAGCTGTAAATTAAAAACTTCTGAATAAAAACTGAGATTCCCTCCACTTCAGTCCATCTAGGCTGCTCATCTAAAATGAATACAAAACATGTCCTTCAAAACAAGTGAAAAAAAATAATGACTGCACTACCTTTTATTGATGGAATTATATTTTAGACTGTGCTAGAAGAAAATATTTTTCTATCTTGTTTCCATTTTCATTTCTCAGGATTCCTGTTCTGTCAGGTGTGGTTAGCTGCCCCTTTTGCCAGGAGACATTTTGTACATACATGAAAGCATGAGTGCATTTGTGTAGACACACATGCATACACCTTTAAAATCTATTCCTCCAAGCTATCCAGTTGCTGAAAGATTATAAACTGTTTATAGTGAATAAACATTTGCATACAGAAAACAAACACACCACATTAAATGGTGAGAGATTTTGAAATAGACAGAAATCAGTCATCCCAACTGAGTGTCTGATTGACCCACCTGACAGATAAAAATAGAAGCATTTTGTAGAGTGCCAGCTTATTACACAGACTAGCCTTCTAAGTAAGACAACATCAAAATGAAGTCCAAACATCTATTCTGCTTTAAAATTTTCAAGAGGCCAAGATTTAAGACACTTAGCTAGGTAGCTTTTTATTTATCACAGTGAAGGTGCTCAACTGATTTTATTTGCCCTCTACCTGTTCTACACAGCAACCTGCAATGGTCATACAACAGTGTTGATAACCATTTATTACTGACAGTATTTAACAGACATTTAAAGGCATTTTACCTCCTTGCAATGAAGTGTTAGGAGCAGTGGTGTTGCAGAGATTCCCAGAGGTGGCAGCACGGAAGCCCCTCGTGCTCACGCAGCGCTGCTCTGTATGCTCAGTGCAAATAAGTGAGATTACTCTCTCATGAAAATGGAGCTTAGGCTGGAGGAAAATAATTGATAAATAAACAAATAGTAAGCAAGCAAACAAATAAAAAAAAGGAGTATATTTGGGAATGTCTATAAATACCGTGGCACTCATTTAGCAAGAAGACAACTGAGGTACCCCCATAAAAGAACATTCCTTACTGATGTCCCTTGGAAAAGCTCCCAGCACTAATGCGTCTTTCAAGTAATAATCTCAAATCTGCTTCCTCAGAAGTAGCATACGTACTTCATTGCAGTAGGCAACAATTTTGAAGGAAATCACAGGAATCTGACTTATTTCTTAATTCAGATTATTCCACTGTTTTTATTCTCCCTTTAAATTTTGTAAAGTGCATTTTTAATCTATTTCACACCGCACAAAGGCATTTCGGCGTTCTCAAGAGAATTCTCTAGTCTCAGTGTCACATCTCCATTGAAGGGGTTGCATAGATATGCAACAGCCTGACTGTGACAAAACATAACTGAACATGTTTAGCTGCCGTATCCAACATGATAACGTTCTGAGGGACTGACAACTTAGTATCGATCCTCCAGTATCGTTCCCACCTGGGCAATGGGCATGGGATAGGAATCCACTTCTCCCATGGCAATGCATCTCCATGAAGTCAGACCCCTGCAAATGCACTTTCAGCCCCCAGTGCACATACTCACTAGCACGTTGTTAAAATATGTGAAAACAGTTTGAAGTAAAAAGTAGACATCAGCTAGCTTGAATGTTAAAATGACCTTTTATCCACAGCTGTTGCAGAAACCAAGCATGAATGTAAAGGTGACAGTTCATGGACATCAGCTGGATCAAGCTACATATCCTCTGGAGCTATAAAGAAAAGTAGGAAAAATACTTTAATGTTCTGAAAAGAAGTCCTGCCATATTTCATCAGCATGATATGGATGATTTTCAATTGGATTGAAGAGATTCTTTGCTGCAAGAAGCAGGGAAAAAAAAAAAAAAAAAAAAAGCAGAATCTTTGTTTACCTGGGCCTGTGGTTTCTAAGCATCTACTTTTTACTACGTTCATTTTTTGACTCAAAGCGAAAATGGGAATTCACCCTTTTCTCTTTTTTTCCTGTCCAATGTGCAGATGGGGCATATTTTAATTCACTCCATCAATCCCTGCCCCCCTACGCACAAACTCACCTAGCCAATGGAAAAGAAAAAAGGGTTACTCATTAATCCATTCTTCAAAGCTTTCCAAACTGAAATGGGTGGGTTTTACATCTGCATCAAAGACCAATATATAGGTAGGTATGTGGCATACCTGAGCACAGCTCAAACTGAAGTGTTCATCTTGGATAGCGCAACTTTGCTCCTAACACAACAAAACTCATCAGAGTATGGAGAGGATGATTATTTTCTGTATGCTCTTCTTCTGTTCCAGTATGGTGCTGACTGCAGCTCCACCAAAAGCAATGAAATACAAACAGCTTGCAAAGACAATTGACCATCTAAAAGATGTAGTGAAAGATAAGGTAAGCAGAGCATTTGTCCTAATTCTGAAATTATTTTCAAGTATTATGCATTGAATATATCTTTTGAGGGACATTGCTCAAATGCTAAACTTTTCTAACTTAGATTTGTTTTATTGTAGGATGTTGAATTGCTGCATACACCAGAAAACCCTGAGGTGAGATCGGTTAAACACTTCTTTCTAACTATATCAAATGCATTTTGTATTGGTTATTTCCACTGACAAATCGACATGCCTTCTTTTTCAAATCTCTGACCTAGAATTCTTAGCACAAGCTAATCTATGTTTGAAGATGCTTTGATAGAAGTTCCTTATTCCTGGATTTTTCATATTGGAAGTGTTTATATTATGCAGTCTTAATTATTAGGCTAGTGACAGGTTAGGTTAGGTTGGGCATTCTAGCACATCTACATTCAAATTTGTAAGTGTTCCCTTTACTCAGTGCCATGAGTATAAAAATGCCTGACTAGCAATGCTCCTGAGGATGCAGTTTTTGGGCAATGAAGCACCTCCAGCTACCATGAGCTCCAGGTGCATTGGCAACACTGCTGAACGGAGTCTGAAGGGATCCCCTTTCCCTCCCACTGGAGATAAATGTCAAGAGTGGTACTGTAAGGCTATATTACATAGCACTTCCTTTCATGCAGTCACACTGGTTTCTGTCAGACTACTTGTGAGCAAAGTGTGTGCTACCACACAGACCAGGAGACAAAGCTGCATTCTGCAAGTATTCTCTTTACATTATAACTTGTTAAAATAACCACAGCAGGTCTCCATGAATTTCTTTTTATACCAATATTTATTAATACATTTTTAAAATGATGATACTATGTATTATTCGAAGTCAGGAACTTCTCATATGTATTAAGTTACGCTAGAGTCACAGAAAGCGTGCACGTATCTACATACCGGCAGGATGCGGGATTTACAGCATAATGAAATGCTAAAAATAACAGCATGTCTTAAAAGTTTAGAAACTCAGTGTGCTCTGCATTCTTTTGATAATCCCCAACATGCAATGAAGTCCTTGTTATCTGTTATCTTAAATTTACCCATCATGTTTGTTTATGGGTGTGGACACCTATTTCAGAAAGAAAGCGATTTTAAGCAAGATGTAAAAATAATCATCATGCATATTAAAAAAAACCACTTGCAGAATATAAAGGTGTTTACTCAGGGCTGTAAACTTTTTTTTTTGCAAACTGCAAGAAGAAAGGAAAAAAACTCACCTCTTTTGACAAAGCTGTTAGCCTCCTCCTAAGATTTATGGCTGGTGCATTTTTGACTTGCAAAAAACAGAGAAGCATGACCAAAACAGATACATTCCATTCTGTCTGATTGCTAGAAACAACTGCAATGCAAAAAGTAATGCACCCGATGTTGTTTTTTTTTCATTAGTCCTCTTTCTAATTCGCACCCTCAAAGTGAAAAGAGCCAGATGGTTAGCCATCATTTTACTGCAGAGTTTACTGCTACCTCTGAAACAAGCAAATACACCCAGTGACTAATCACTTCATCGGGTTGTTGCTTTTTTTTCTCTTGAAAAACACCAGGAAGGAAGACAACAGTTCATTTGCAGCACAGAGCTTTACGGGCTGGCTCTGGGAGGTCCTGAGTACCTCTGTCAAAAAGTATAGCAGATGAAGAATTTAGGTATTTTGGAAGGTACTAAGATCGATACAGGTTTGATCCCTGATGAAAAGATAATGCTAATTATTAAGAGTAATTGTTAACAGTAATTATTACCAGCAATCAGACTGAAAAGGATTTTATTCTGTGGAGTGAAATTTACATGTATTGAATTATCCAAATACACATATGTTATATATTCTATTATTATATTATATATATTATATATCTCTCCAGTATCTAAAGGGAGGCTATAGGAATGGGGACAGACTCATCAGCAGGGGCTGCTGTGATAGGATGTGGGGAAATGGCTTCATACCAAAAGAGGGGAGATTTTGATTGAGTGTAAGGAAGAAAATTTTTACAACAAGGGTAGTGAAGCACTGGCACAGGTTGTCCAGAGAGGCAAGACACTCAAGTTCAGGCTGGATGGGGCTCTGAGCACATGACGTAGCTGCAGGTGTCCCTGTTCACTGCAAGGGAGCTGGACTAGATGGCCTTTAAAGTTCCTTTCCAACTCAAACAATTCTATGATTCTATACAAACTATAGCACGCCAAAGTTGCAGTTACACCTTAATGCACAAAACTAGATTTAATTAAAAAAAATAGGTTTAATTAAAAAAAAAAACACAACCAACTAGATTTAATAAAACTGCACTTTGAATATCATAGTATTACTTATACGATAACCTGCTTACGGCAGACTTGAATTTGGCCTTCAATACGTAGGAAGAATACAATTTTTCATTACATCAAAAATTCAGTGATTTATCAGTATTGGTTTTGAATTCCTTGAGATACCAGTGAATGGACTGAATGTTAGCCCCAGTGCAATCCCACATCGTTTCCCTGTACACTCAAGTGAGATTTAAAAAATAAAAAATAAAAAATAAAGTAGTGGAAGGCTAAAGATAGCAGAAGATACAAACTCAAAAGAAAAGATACTGAAGCTGAGGAAGACTTCATACTGAGTTGATTCAAAAGACTGGAGGGAAAATAGGATAGACCTTGGAGACAGACCGTGCAGCTGAAGCCAATGGCACAATGCCCATTTAAATCACATAAGCATCTAACTGCTGTTGTTAGTTCAGGAAGCAAAGGTTTTTCAAGGTAATCTGTAAAGTTAGTCAGGTGTAGAATGTTTGTTTCTGGCACAGCTATTTTACACATTTGCCTAGTGCCCCTCAGACTTCACCACCGGTACACACTTTTTAATGCCTCTTCATCAAAATGCTGAACCCATCACAACATACCAAAAATCCTTGTGGCCCTCTGACTGTTGGCCTTCCTACAGCTAACTGTTAACTCAGCAAAATAAGAAAAAGCAGCATATATGAGAAGTGCTAGTTTCTCAGCTCATCGCGGATGAGGCACAAAATGTTTTCAGTTTCAGCTGGAAAATCGATCTGTTGAAAAAAAGAGTACTTTTTTTCCAGTAAGCAAGTCTGGTTACGGTAAGAAGCTTGAAACAAACACAAAAGTGTGGTTTTTAATGAAAATAAAATGTTGTATCTAACCAACATAAGATGATGCTATTAACGTTTGCTATAGACAACATACACTGAGGTTGCCTTGTCCTTGCAAAAGCAGCACACTGCAGTGGCATCTACTAAACCAGACGAGATTCAGCTTCGGTAGCTGTTGGTATGCAAAACAAAGATGACGTCTTTGGAGCCATTCTAATATGCATAATCAGCAGTTTTAAGTGTGTGTTTCTTTGAAAAATGGAAAACGCGTTAGAAATGGGCTTCAGTAAACACTGCTTTTCTTTTTATGTTGATAATAGGTTGGCTTTGGTGGTATTTTCCACAGTTGTATGCCTAGTGAGGAAAACTGCTACCACACAGGAAAGGAGATTCTGGAGAGTTTGTAGCCTGTTAGTGTAATAAAAATTAATGTGCAACCACACCATGAAAGAGAAAAAGCAGGCTGCTGTCATCATTAATATCCAAAGGGAGACTTTAGGCACGTATTTGATGAGGAAACACTTAAGCAATTATCAAAGAATAGGAAAATCAAAGGATCCTTCGTGTATCTAAAACTATACTAAAAAAAAAGTACTGTTGGATCTCGGATTCTTAATTTTGAACAAAAATCACAACTTAATACGTGTGGTGATGTTCCTTTTAAAATTGTTCCTTCTGTTCCTGTCCTAGGATGGATGCCTGTTCACAGCTGTGACCTGCTTCCAGGATGGCATACTGAAATTACAGCCAAAAAACAGCCAAGTAAATGTTACATTCACCAAAACTGTGAAGATCTTGAGAAGACCCATTTTGCCAGACTCTGGAGAGGTAGTATTTTCTGCCACTGCTCAAAGTCTTGATCATTGCCCCTTATTTTCTGCAACGGACACCACCTCTAACAGTAGAATCGTAAGAGCCAAACTTGTTAGAAAATCAGATCAATCTTTCATTACTTTGGAAACAAAAAATATCAATTTTTGTGCACTTCCAAGAGAAATTCATTCCAATCCTACCAGTCAATTGCATGTATGCACTTTAATGATGACAACAATGTGACGTACTGGGCAAAAGAACAGGGAACACTGCAAAAATTGTGAATGAAAGGTGTAGTTACTATTTTCAATCCCTTTCTGAAACAGCCCATGTCTTGGTTTTACTGTTCATAAAAGGCTGTGATTACAATCAGCTAGATTTTTTAATAAGAAGTCTTTAAGTATTATTTACAATTATGGTCAGATCTTTCAAAGTGGCATGCTCTGCTTTATCTTTCAGCATTGTGAGTCTTCATGTCAGTCTTACGAGAGAAAAAAGCCCCAAGAGTTTCTGAACAGCTTTTCAAAACTGATGCAAAAGGTAATCAATTAGATTTGGATCCTCCTGTCTGGTTTCTGACATTCTGTAAATAAGCACTGATACCTGTATTTTCTGTTATTCCTAACACTGCATTTTTTTCACAGTTATTCAAGAACTGTGGATACACCAGAGCTGAAGGCTACTGAAAATCTACTATTTAAAGCAGACACTATCTTATTTAAGACTGTGAAAAATGTAAATATTTCTCATTGCTACTTTGCTGTGCTGTGTGTGTGGTAAGTGAAAGCTTCTCCCCAGAATATAAAAGAGGCTTATTTGGATGGCTAAGCATAAGAATGATGCTGATTTGAAAGTAATCCTAGCCTCATCTCACAGTGAAATTCCAACCAGTGAAATTCCCTGATTTCAGAAAACAAGGCTCACTTGTGGGACTTTACTGTCACTTTACGCTGAACTAGAAATGCATGAGATGGCTGCTAGTCTTTTTTTGCATTCATCTCAAATGAACCTCATACATAAGTGACTGAAACATTTTATAGAAGACAGACAAAAAGTTACCAGTATGTCTGAAGATTCAGGTTTCTACTTGGACTGATTTCCTTATCTTCAACAATAATACCACACACACAATTTTATTTATAAGTTTTTAGATTGAATCTTAGCTGAAAAAAAATATCCTGCATGTAACTATCACAGAAAGAGTGGAAAAACATTTACAAATCTTACTGTATGGCATGGATCTGACATGCTTCCATGTTGAACTTAACCAGGCATTTGCCCTGGTTTCAACGGGGAAAGGGCTAACTCAAATGCTTGAAGTGGAGATGCAGAATTCTTGTAGAATTCTCTGGGGAAAAAACTTCTCTCAGGACTCAGAATTCCACCTCGACTCCTTCAAGCTAAGATAAATTCATGGTTGATATGACAGGCCACTGAAAGAGATCCAGCAAATACAGTAACTGATGATTATTCAGAGTGAAGCTTCTCAAAAGCATATTTCCTTCCTCAGAATATTTTACTCTTATATCCATGTACCATAACACTATTTCTTCTGTTCACTCTTGATTCACCAGAATGCTTCAAATAGCAATTTTTTCTTTAAAATCTGTCAAGTTTTTGTGGAAACTTCACTGTACAGCTTCTGCACCTTGTACATTTCTGTGAAACTTTGGCCAGAGACAGCACTGGCTTTTTATTTTTATTTTTCAATAAAAGTAAGTATCACATCACTTAGAACTAATTTTTAGCAACCGAATTATGTACAACAATATTCTGCTTGCCATGATTCTGTAGCTTGTGAAGCAGCAGTTAATTTACCCTCCAAAGAGATATTAGAACCACAAAAAGCTGCTCTTGGAAGGGAGTGTAAAGACTGCCAGTAAAAATTAACCTTCCATCTGACTTTCTCTTTACTTAGTAGAAATACAGTATAAAAAGGAAACTGGAATGGAAAATGATAAGCTTAGTTATCTCCAGAAATATTGAGAGGCACTATTAAAAACATTTCCTTTCTTACAATTGTCAGCCTACAGAAAAACTAACAGAAAAAGCTTTTTTTTTTTTTTTTTTTTTGCCTCCACATTTTTACTGTCCTGAAATGTGAACTTCTTCAAAACATACATATGTTAAGAGGAGGAAGGAAGATCCTCAGGGCAACAGTGAACAAAGTTTCCACAGTCAGTTCTTTTTTGCTTTCCATCTCCTTATTTCTGGCTGATGACAATTTTGCTTCGGATTGTCTTTCTTTTATCTTTTGCTTTTATTTGTTTGAAAAACTTTTTCCTCCGAGTAATGTTCCGCTATATCTCAGTGTTTCTGCATTTCTGAATGAAAATTAACATTCTAAAAATGAACTGCCCCTTGTATGTATGGGGAAAGAGCTTCCTTTTTTACAAAATATAAGGTAGGCATTTTTTTACTCATAAATCTATCTCTTTTCCAGTAATTCAGTATGTGCATTCAAATTAGTTTTTTCCAAAACCCTGTTACAATTACGTAGCAGAGGTGAAATGTGATTAGCATGCTTTAAGAGAACACTGCACATTATATATTTACTAGCAGTCATTATAAAAGATTGAAAAGCAGCTTTTAACTGCTTTAACTTCTTTTTTTTTTTTTTTTTTTAACTTAAGATGGATCTCTTAAGAGAAAAATTGCCATTTCCTTAACAGAATATCATAAGCTAACTGGTTATTCCTGCCTACACTGAAACAGTTGAATTTTTTTTGATTGTTTGTTCATTTTTGCACGCAAGGCAGCATGTAACAAACTAAGTAATGTAGCTATTTCTGTTTAGTGACTTGCTCCACTGTTTTTAATTGACGGATCACATCACAACAAGCGTAGTGGCTAAAGATTTGTTGGTAGGTTTTCTGAATCTCAATATACTCGTTTGTAAAGTAAGACTATTTCTTATATCTGCAGAGTAACTTTAGTCAAAATGCTGAAGTCATGATCTGAACAAACAAACAAACCAGCAAGAAGCTGTAACAAATCTAGATCTGTAAGGGCTAATTGTCCCTAAGTCCTGGAGAAAACTGTATTAAGCGATAATCCAGTCAGACATATGGGAAAAATTAATCACAACATTATCGCAGTTGCTCTTAGTTGATGCCACTCCTCTGGGCAGTGCCAGCAGTCACTCTGGAACTCTCTATACGTTTAAAATACACTTAAGACTCACACGATGCTGAGGCCTCCTATTAAGTTTTTGATTTGTGACAGCTATGAAAGATTGAGTGTGTTATTCAAGGATGTACTATTTTAATCCCAAATGAAGAACAAGAAAACAGCGAAGGACAGATCAGTCTTCAAGAGGACATCACCTTGTTCTTCAACACTATTCTCACGAGAATAATATGACGATGGCCCAACTCTTATGTTGGGAGGACTAGTAACCACGATTCCAGACATGAAACAATCTTGATGCGTTTTCATTTGTAAGGTGAACTCTCTTTGTACTGACCGCATTGTTAGAAGAAGAATGTTTCTTTAGCTGAGTACATAGGGTAAGCCATAAAAGCTCATTACCTCCCAGGGAGGTTTAACAATATATTTATGATTTTGGTCATAAGTGTCCATTGTGGGCACTTCAATATGTGTCTTAGCACGGTATATACAGTTCTGTATAATATTTACTTTTCTTGAGAGGTTTCTGTATTATTATACCAATTGTCTCATTTAATTTAATTATTTATTGTATTTTGTGAATTGAATGTTTATACTGAGGACCTCATGGTTTGATTTATTTATACACCTATGATATTAAATAATTTTAGCTAATACAATTTTCACTTGTTCTTTTCTTAAAAAGCTTCCAGCCATTTCAATCCTTACTGTGGTTTATACGATTCCTCATGTGAACTTTATTAGCCCACACTATCACAGATACTGCCAGATGAGACCAAAGATATGGTATATACAAAGTATATTCTCCCTCTGTACACAGTGACTACAGGGTGATCCACAAGACAATCACGTGAAGTCTCTATCACTACATTACACCTTCCAAGGGAGCACAGTGTTCAACACACAGCTGTTTGCATATGCCATAAAGCTTAGATTTATTGACTACCATGAAGTTCAGATTGCACACATACTGCTGAGAGAATCCTTTTGGGCTGCTCTCTGGCCTCTTGCCCCTTGGTCTGTACAGACATCCAGGGTCACCCTGTTCCCAGGTGCAGAATCCAGCACTAATTCTTTTTAAACTTCACAAGGTTGGCGACTGACAGAAATCTTGTGATAATATCAGCCAGTTCTTTGAGTACCATGGGTTGAATCCCATTGGCCCATTCAGCTGAAGCAGAAAATCCTGTGCAAGTTCAGAGTTGGCTGGAGTTTATCACTCCCACAGTGACTCTTGAGTCCTAGAGCCCTAGCCCAAAAAGGCATTAAACACCTTTGCTTTATCTACACTCCTATCTGTGAAGTGATCAATCTCATCAAGTAATGGTCCAGTGTATTCTCTGGTCCTCCTTTTCCTGTTAACATACTTCAAACATTTATTTGCTTTTAAAGCTTTTTTTAAAGCTTAGGAAAATTGAAAAATATAAAAGTAATGTCTCCTATTTATTTCCATGGAAACTACAGCAGATACAAAGAGCACAATAGTACTATGTGATAGAGCAAATTCTCAGCTACAAAACATTGTTTTTCAACATAGCTATTAGCTATGGGTTTTTTTGCCCACTATGAACAAGAACCTGTGTGCCACTCATAAAAATCTTCTTGGCTGTCAGGAATGTGGCATGTCTTTCATGTCACTGTAATCACTACTGCAAAGCACCACGCACAGCCTCACTGTGCTCACATTCGCTGGTTGGACTCCATCAAAATTAAACAAGAATCAATGAATGTCAATTTGTGCAATCTTTTTTCACATGGAGGAATTCATTTCCACAGCTTTGCTTCACATGCACTTTTCCATGTCAGACGTCACTGTCAGACTGCCCTTCTGCTGCTATCTGGCACATGACAACAAATTGTAAGAGAATATTGGTGGGAAGATTCAACCTCTACTGCCACCCCACCACCATCTGCCTCTGACATCATGGGCTAACATCATCAAATAGGAGGCATTACTTTCAGAGCAGCCCTCATGAATACATAGAGTAAAGATGCTAATCCATGATTCCAGAAATATTATTAGTAGCTGATGAAATAGCATCTCTGCTGCATTCAGACTATACTGTGTAAATAAAAACCTTGACACTGCACTGTGACAAGCAAATAGACCCAGAAGTCCTGTGGTCGGGCTACTTTATCTTCCTAAGAATCTTGTTCATTTGTGGTCTCTGAACTCAAATTATAGTGCTCTGGTCATAACACAATGTGAAAAAGATTTCACAGCTTTAACATAAGGCTTTAGGCTTCCAGTATGTTTAGAACTATTTGCTAGAGCAGAGGATACACTTTATGGGCATCTGCTCTGCAGTGGAAAAGAACAGAGCCTCTAAAACCAGAGGACTGTGCCTACACTAGAGTAACTCAACTATTTAACCCCACTGAGAAGTTTAGGCACCATTTTTTCCACATCAACCAAGACATTGGGGCATAGATGCTGCTGCGTACACGTATCACAAATCTTTTTCAGATTTAGAACATCTCAAAAATGTTAATTTGTTCTATATAGATATGCTGTATTCTTTCTGTCATTTGTTTACATCTTCATGGATGCATTTTCCCAACAGCTGTGGATTGTACACTGCTCTTGCTTTTCACTTTTACTGATGATCCATGTTGTAAAAGGTGCAATGCTGAAAGTGAACATTTCCTACTCGAACATCCTTCTCCAAGCTATGATCTGAATTGCTGTACTGCCACCTGTTGATAACTGTGACAAAATGTTTTGCTATACACTGGAAATAATACTTATTTTCTTCTCATTTAATTTTCCACTTTTCTGCTTACACATCTGAAGACTTCCCAGTATCCTTTTCTTGTCCAATTGCATTACCGCTGTAAGACCATGAAGTATATGTTTAAAAAACCCAGAGTGAAGACAACCAAAAAAATTACTTCAAAAGCAGTTCCTATTTTCTAGACTTCAGAGATGTTAAAAAACACCAAATATGAGGCTTTGGTTCAACTCATACAGGATAATCTGTTTTTTTCTTA